CTCTCTCTCTCTCTCTCTCTCTCTCTCTCAAAAAATAAAAATAAAAAAGAAAATAAAATTTAAAAAAAAATCTGTAAATTATCCAGCCAAGCAAACAAAGGTTCTCTTACATATATCAACTTTGCTAATTCATACACATCATCTATTTCAAAATTTGCAACTCAGAAAACAATGCATAGAACTCAAATGTGAAGAACAAATGTCAATTATTTCTCTAAATGAAAGATCAGAGATCAAGCCATTGAAGCTGATGCATAAATACAACTGATTCTGACATTTCTCCCCTTACCCAAAGTACTAACACTGCTTTGTATCTCCTGTGGATTTTTAGGAGAAATCAGAATAAACTCTTAAAAACCACCAGGAAGACTTACCTTCTTAGAAATCTCTTCAGCAGGATGTCTGGATCTTGAGATTTATAGCAATGTGGAAGTAGTTGCTGTTATGCTTGAAAAGGAAGGTAAATCAGTAAAAGTGCAGGATACTGAAGATCTAGACGTTGAAATCTTCCAAAATGCTAAGAAAAGAAAGTATTTCTAAAGGTAACGAATAACATAATCCTGGTTATAGTCATACGATAATTTCAGAAGTGGTGTGTAGAGGGCTCACACTGCAGAAGAATAAACAAAAGTGAATCTCCTCCCATCCGTGTTCTCAAATGGGGCTTTCCTCTAAAAGCAGAACTGCAGTTTCTTCCTTGCAATATCTTAGTCATCATGCTGATTTAAAAGTAAACTAGAACTTAATTTTTTTCATACAAATCTCAGCAAATGAAAGAGGTTTAAATATTAGAATTTTCACATCCAGCAGCCTTACTCACCAGTCACTAGGAATCTCTGTGGTACTTGAGATCCTGACACTCTTACAGTAAAATTATGAGGCACTTTCTAGCTGCTTATAACTTCAGGCTTTCTGTCAGAGTGGGAGTGGTTCGAGGATTTCTATTACTAATACTACTGTAATGCATTTCCTAGACAGGGGTGGGTCTTCTAGATCTATTACTTATTAAGTATTATGTTACTCATTCCAGCTGTTCATAATAGTGCACCAATATGGGGCTTGTCAGAGCTTGATGTTATATTAAGTATGTGATGTTATCAACTATATCTAAACACTGTGCCTCTAGTTATTCTCTTAACTAATGCCAGAATGAATCATTTCAGTGATGAAGTTCATGATTACTTTTCGCGTATTACTTATAGAGAAACAACATAGTATGATAGCTTTGAAACATCTATAAGAGTACTAAAGGTCAGATAGGGACATTTGAACTCATGAAGCTTCTGTCATGCAAGTTTTTTTGTGGATCATAGAAGCCTTCTAGACTATGGAAGATCTCATGTGTTAACAAAAGGGACAAACTGGTCGATGGTGTGAAGAAGTCCATCAGCTGATCTGCAAGCAGTATGATTCCGTTGCTGGATATAGAATCCTCAAGCACAGGGAATGCAGACAAATGATCTGAGACCATTTATGTCTGAAGAAAGCTGACTATGTTGTTTCAAGATAGTCCCACATATAGGAAGGTTAATTTCTGGACTTGAAACCATCTAAAACATGTATCAAAGCAAAATCAAGGAGAATCTTCAGTAATGGTCTCAAATACCTGTGGACACTTATGGCTTTTTTTGAGGAGTGTAGGCACAATTTGGGTTGCAGATTATCTATCTATCTATCTATCTATCTATCTATCTATCTATCTATCTATCTATCTATCTATCTGTCAATC